CTTCGGACCTGCGGTTGAGGAATTCGCTGAGCGCTTCACTGCTACACAGAAGTCGTCCCAGGCCATGCGACACTTCCTTCCCATGCGCTCTAGCTTGACGACTGCTTCTAGTCGCCCACAAATCAGCGCTTCCGCGCCATGGTTTTCACCTTGGTTCAGAGCAAGAACGCTCACATTCTGCGCTCCGAGGTGATGAATTTACTGGTGAAAGGAGCCATAGAAATGGTCCCCCTAGGTCAGAACGAGTCAGGCTTTTACAGTTGTTACTTCCTTGTCCCCAAAAAGGATGGCAGTCTTCGACCCATCCTTGATCTCAGATGCCTGAACCGTGCCCTTATGAAACGGACGTTCAGGATGATTACTTTGAAACAGATCCTCTCGCAAATGTGCCAAGGGGACTGGTTCTTTTCTCTGGATCTGAAAGACACGTACTTTCACATCCAGATAGCCCCCCATCACAGACGATTCTTGAGATTCGCCTTTGAGGGAGTGGCATATTAATACACGGTCCTTCCATTCGGACTGTCCCTAGCTCCTCGCACTTTTACAAATTTTTTTACCATTTTTACCTCGACGACTGGCTCATCTTAGTCCAGTCAGAGGACGAGCTACTATCTCACAGATCCTTTCTCCTCAGCCGCTTGAAATGCCTGGGACTCAGGGTCAATTTTGCCAAGAGCGCTCTGTCTCCCAGCCAACGGATATCATTCCTGGGAGCAGTTTTCGACTCGGCCCGTATGAGGGCGACAGTCGCACCAGAACGTGCTCTGGCTATCCGGCAGCTCGTGGCTTCTTTCAAAATAGGAGACTCTCACCTCCTCAAGGCATTTCAGAAGATGCTAGGTTTTATGGCCTCCGCGTCTCCAGTACTACAGCTGGGCCTGCTCCGTATGCGGCCCCTTCAGTACTGGCTGAACCACTAGTTCCGTCCCACGCCTGGCATCACGGACACCTTCATATCAAGGTAAACCAGGCCTGTGTGGCAGCCCTGGCCCCTTGGAAAGACTCTCATTGGATGGAACAGGGTGTGTCCCTGGGAATGATCTGCAGAAGGAAGGTAGTCTCAACAGATGCGTTCAGAACTTGCGTTCGCTGAGGGCGATGCATGTGCCAGGCGGGTTGAACCAAGGAGTAGACATGCTGTCTCAGAGCAATGTCCCCTCAGAAGAGTGGATGCTCCACCCCCAAGTGGTTCAGAAAATCTGGGAGATCTTTGTCAAGGCAGAGGTCAACCTCTTTGCCTCAAAAGACAACTCTCACTGCCCAACTTATTTCACGAAAGACATGGACGCGTTGCCCCACCACTGGCCCAACCTCCTCCTTTACGCTTTTCCCCCGATCGCCATGATCCCGCAGGTAATCAGGCGAATCAGAGAACAAGGGCACAGGGTTCTGTTGGTAGCCCTGCTCTGGAAGAACCAACACTGGTTCGCAGAGCTGTCCCAGCTCGCCATGATCCCGCAGGTAATCAGGCGAATCAGAGAACAAGGGCACAGGGTTCTGTTGGTAGCCCTGCTCTGGAAGCACCAACACTGGTTCGCAGAGCTGTCCCAGCTGCTTGTAGCAGCTCCATGGCCCATTCCCCTGAGACGAGACCTCCTCTCTCAGGCGAACAGAGCAATCTGGCACCCCCAGCCCGAGCTGTGAGCCCTGCACCTCTGGCCTCTTGATGGGAGCCTAAAGAGGCCTCCCCAAGAGTGTTTTAAATACAATAGCTCAGGCTAGAGCACCGTCCACGAGACGCCTCTATGCCCTTAAATGGTTGGTCTTCTCCACCTGGTGCACAGCCCACGGCAAAGACCCAGCTTCATGTGACATATCTCTGATATTGTCCTTCCTACAAGAGCTGTTGGAAAAGGAGCTGTTCCCCTTCCATGATCAAAGTCCTATAGCAGGCCAGTCAGTGGGCAGGAACAACCTGGTTGTTCGCTTCTTGAAGGAGTCCAGGAGGCTTAACACGCCTCGCCCCTCCACAGTCCCTACATGGGATCTGTCCACAGTGCTGAGGGCTCTTAGGCCCTTAAAACCGTTCTACTACTGGTGCTAGCATCGGTAAAGCAGATGGGAGATCTACAGGCACTTTCTGTGAGCCCCTCTTGCCTGGAATTTGGGCCCAATGACTCTAAGGTCATCCTGAAACCAAGGCTCGGGTACATACCTAAGGTGCTCTCCACCCCGTTCAGAACACAGGTAATAACTCTATCGGCACTCCCCCCCTCGGAGGAAGACCTGGAGTTACAACTACTCTACCCAGTCAGGGCATTGAGAACCTATATCGAGCATTCCACCCCAATCAGGCAGACAGAACAACTCTTTATATGCTTTGGTGGCCACACCAGAGGGCTTCTGGACACTAAGCAGAGACTCTCCAAATGGGTAGTTGACGCTATTGTGCTAACTTACTCCTTGGACCTACACTGCCCTATGGGAGTAAGATCCCATTCGACTAGAGACATTGCGTCTTAGCAGACGCAGTACGAGTGAAGTATCGAAAGGGAACCTACTCGGTTACAAACGTAACCTCGGTTCCCTGAGATACGGGAACGAGTACTGCATACTTAGCCGTGCTATACAGCTGCACGACTCAGTTGTCGCTTCAGTCAAAGTAACCTGAGAATCCTATGGCGACATGCCCGCTTATATAGCCAGATGGCCCCGCCCATATATCGACAGCTCTGCTGCCGAGCCATTGGTTCGTTTTTAATTTACTGCATGAACCAATGGCCGTGCAGTTACACTGCATTATTGAAAAAGCTTCAGTCATCGGAGAAAAAAGTTTTCCCCATAGCATCTTAGCAGACGCAGTACTCGTTCCTGTATCTCAGGGAACCGAGGTTACGTTTGTAAGGAAACAGGGCACGCAGATGAGAGTGCACGGCTCGAGAATACTCAAAGCCACGCACTCACACAAAAACAGGACATGACGGGAGTGTCAGGGCTCTGTCACCAAATCAGGAATAACACTAGACCGAAGTTACAGAACCCTGACACTTTTATGGTCTTTTTGTGGTTTTTGGAGCAAGACAGTGGTCATTATAATATTCTTTAGGATTTTCTACTTTTGTTTTCCATGGAAGAGAGAAAAATGATGGTTTGCACCACAGCTCTGACAAAAAAAAGTAAGACATGTCAAAAATATAAACACGGCATAACAATGCACCTCAATCAGCACTCCTAATGGCACCCTGGTTAAGCAGAATGGAGGTGATTTAATTCTGTCTTGTTAAGACATGGTGCTCACATCCTTTGTAAAAACAATGTCGGTTCACAAGTTTGAAGGCCCTGCATCAAATATGTTCTAATTTCCCATATTCCAAAATAATGTCTGCTATTCACATTCACTTCACATACAAACAACAGGCAATGTGCTTGATATCTTGATTACATTTATGGACATCATCAGTCACTGAAGATTTGTCAGCTGTTTTAAATGACTTCCAGGCATTCTACCAAGTTGTTTTCTCTTTTGGACAGACCAAAAGCCATTTCTAGCACTTAAACTCCTACTGGGTTCCATCCACAGGACAATAAAAGTAAAGAGAGAGGGATTAGGGTAATTGATTAATGTCTGTAGTGATTTTTACGGTAACATGGGGACCGTGTTACAGTAACAGACCATGGCCCCATATGGAGGTGTTTAGCCTGGAGCAATGACAGGGCTTTCCAGGAATATATCAGGGCCTCAGTCCGATCGCACGTGACAGCCAGGGGTCAAGAGATAGCTATACAGTACACACACACACACAACAGATGCTCTCACGCATGCACACACAGAGATCCTAACAATGTACGTGCAATGTATACAAATGCACACAGGTGCCGGCACATCATCAAAGACACACATGTGCACATATGACTATGTTAAAAATGACAAAATCATGGTCTAGCATTGTGGTGCATATGGCATATGCTTAGATACGTTACACGGTGGTCCTTATGTGTGTGCAATTTGAGTTCAAATCTGTCTTCCAACATTTTCTGTTCACACCTCTTCCCTTTTCTCAATATTTTCTTAACACATCCCATCTGGCCTATTCCGTTAACTATTAAAAGTTCAATAAATATTCCAATAAGGATTTTATTTAATTTTAGATGAAGATATAATTATGTTTTAGGGGACATGTGGACACAACTTTTTTATTACTACTGTAAGTGAGCTGTAAGTCTTAAGAATAAGAATATATGAGTCACACTGTAGAGGAAGTGACACGTTTCTTGGGAAACCAGTGTCTAGACATACATTAAATCAATACACCACACTGAACTGCATTTCAGCATGTTCGAAATTACAACAACACCCATGTTGTCCTAACAGTAACATCTATAAATCGAATAAAAAATCTTTGAGAGGCCTTTTTCAAATAACACAAAATAAAAATGTATTCCTGTAACTTTTTACCCAACCTTCATGTTGTTCCAACCCAGTGTGAGTTTAATTTCTCCACGGAACAGAGAAATAATGACTTTTTTAAGAATCTTTCTGCAACTCTTTTCCATAAATGAGAGTCCATACTGACACCAGTTGTCAAATTCCTCAAAAACCAAAAAAAAAAAA